TTAGCAACTCTGATTCAAATTCGCAAAAATTATAAAGACGACATCTCAATAACATTATTTTGGCTAAATGTACAAGCTGAGCAATATCCAGATGGCACTATGGTGTATCCTCTGCTCGCCAAGTTTGCATTTCATATTCTGAGTTTGTCTCATTTCTCTGCAGATGCAGAAAGGAAATTTTCGCCCCCCCATTAATTTGTTGAAAACGAGCAGATAATCTATTATCCACCAATAGTATTGTTGGTCTAATGCATTCGAAAGAATACATAGGTTGCAGAGAATGCTTTAATTTAAAAATTGATAAAAAGATCTTGGAATATCGTAACAGTGACATGTACAAAACGTCTGATAGCTTTTCTGACTCAGAATGAGTTATTTGGATCAATTGAAAAAATAAAACATGTTTTTATCAAGTTATAATAAATTTTAAAAAATATTTTTGTCATAATTTATTTTTTAGTTAGGAAAAACTCATGATACAATGAATGTATCATTATTCATGTATTATATTATAGTATTAATTGTATCATGGGTCATGGGTAAAGCTTATGTCATAGAACAAGGCTTATGCAGAGACAAGTAGAGACGAGAAACTAAATGTAAATAATTTGTGTTGTGAGATGATGCTTTCTCTCTCGTTAAGTGGGAGCCGTGGCTCAGGGGGGGCCACCCGCGGTTCCAGCGAATGCCCGCCAATTTCAAATAATGCAATATAATAAAGTACTTACTGTTTCAATGCTTGAAAATGTGTGCAAAACATATTTAATGGAGCCAAATTAGCCAGTTGTATTTATAAAAGCAAAATAATGACTTGGACTCCAGGAATACGTCTTGTACATCATTTTCAAGCTAGAAGAAAAAGAAAACATAGAAATCATCATAGTATAGTTTTATTATTTATTAATTCTTAAGATAATTAGATTAAGATTAAGAAAAAAATCTTCTCGAAGACACCCAGTGGTCCGGAACCCTGGGTAGTGTTGGATAAATAGGCCCCGACCGTGTGGCTTAGCACTTGGGCAGCTACAGACACTTTCATAGTATACTGCATTACGGGCTGCAAATGATTGTCTGTAACTTTGTGCATAGACCTGAATGAATATGGACATTTCTTATCCATCTCATACGCAGCAACAATATCAGCAAATCTAGGTTCCATCTCTGCTTCATTTTGACCAACCTTCAACAAAACATTATGCTTTCGAAATAGAGAAAAATAACATTTCAATAAATGAGGTGGGTCAAACATCGCAAAGATGATATTGTCACCATGCTTGAAAAAAGGCCTCTCTACAGTAACACCTACGTTTTTCATGTATTTTTCATTGTGTAGATGCTCCCATATCACAAACTGTAGCCACGACCTCAACGTATGCAATATTTTTCGCCGCTTTAAGAACTTGAAACAAGCAATGTTCCAAATTGTCCGCGTTACACCCATTGTTTGCAAAGAAGTATGCTACGGGTTGCTTCCATTTTTTTGCTAGCCCTACTAACATAAACAATAAGGCTTTATTGGCGGGTTTACTAGATGTTCTTTCACCGAAATCTTCGAATCCGAGAATGTTGTCGCTGCCAAGATCATATTCAATGTTCTCTTGAATATCCATCTCATCGAATAGAAGAACGCAACATCTGTCTGCAGAACCTTCAATCGATTCATTTATATGCGAGAACAGATGTTTGTTAATCCAAACATAAAATAGAACTTTTCCCAGCATTGACAAAAGCGTTTTTTTGCTAGTTAGCCATACAAATTTTTGGAGCATTCGGTAGCATTTAGGACTTTTTTTATAAATAGCAAGAGCCATAACTTTATCATCAAAAGTCCATCTTCTTCCTTTCGACCCTTTGCTTTTTAAGCATCTAATTTGAGCCAACAGTAAATTGGAGGTCAATGATGGCATGTCTTGAAACAATCAGTGAACTACGGCTGAGTCCGATAAATTTGCCGAGGCTTTAATGTCATTGACTCTCTTCTTACACAAACGTTTCACTTTTCTCAACTGATTTTCTATTCTGTTGATTATGGGAATTAATTTTAATTTTCTTGGGGAATTTTCTATATTGCTCAGCCCTTCAACACTTCGAAACAACTTTCTAGTAGGAGTTACTGGAGGTTGATTCGATGTGCCTGGCTGGCATTTATCTGTCATATCACCTAAAAATATAACACAGGAACTCTATTTACAAATAATGTTTGTATATACTTACTGGTAGTTAATGGAACATTTTCCACCCCACTATCAGGAATAACTGGTGCTACATTTTCCATAGAGCTTTCCCCCCCGGTACACTCAATTTCAATAAATCTATTTAGAACTGAGTTACGAACAAGTCTCAAATCTTTCGAATTTGCATAACAACTTTCCACAAGACATTAGCCGTACCCGGTCACAGGGCTTCGCAGTGTTGCCATTTTATTTCTGTTTGTCAGATGTCTGTAAGTTTCAGCTGATTTTTCGCGGCAATTTAAAAAATTTGAAATATTGGTAATTTACGAACAAAATTCTTCAACGTATATATAGTTATACATGTATAGCCCATACAAAAAGTTATAGGGTGGTGGAACAGATTAATGCAAGGGTATTTAATTAAAACCAAGTGACATGGACTAACATATTTAGTAATTGATTTAAGTAAATTAACAATCCGGGGCAAACCAGATCATTTCCGTTACAATACAATAATACGATTAACTACCGATTTTTTTTTCTGAAGACAAAAGTTGTAATGCTAAAGTGTAAGTCTCATTTTGAGTCGGGATTTCCTTGTGTTTTTCCTTTGTCACTTTTCTAGTTGAGTATATACGCCTCTGCGGCTGAACATTTTTATTAGTAGATATGTTTCTAGCAGATGGCAATAAAGAACTAGATGCTGGATTTGTTCGCACAGCTTGCAGTGTTGGGGGAAATGGTGCAGTAAGTTTTTTTAATATATCTAATTCTTCTGACGTTCTGCATTGATTGACATATGTCATAAGAGTTAGGATAAAGTCTTTCTTATCCGCATCCAATTTTGCTTCCGTTTTGCTCGTACTGACTGCTTGCAAAATTGCATTAAGTTCTTCATCACTTTTATGATCCTGGCGAACTACACAACAGAAAAAAATAAATAGATGAGAAAGAAAATTATGAAGAAACATAACAGTTAGTTAAAAACAAAACATTGCTATATAGTTGCTCTTTTAGATCAGTGACTAAAATATTGACACATTAAAGTAAGAGATTAAGATAAATTTTCAAAAATACCTGATTCCGTTTGGACTTCTTCGCCCGAGATTTTGCTAATGAATGTGCATACCAAATGAATATGTTTGCACATGTTCCATTTGACACTGCAGTCCAGACAGGAACATGTATACTGATGTATACACGCCTGACATTTATCACAGACAAGTTTACATGTGCAACCTAATGACAATCTCTCCACTACATACATTTCATTGGTAGATTCGGAGGGCACCAACCAGCCTATATCAATCTTTCTCACCTTGTTCAAATCCAGTTGTTCACTAGTTTTATGTTTTTTTTCGCAAATCACTTAGCTTACTGCATCCTTTGCCTTTGTGAATACTAATCAGCCGATTAAACATTTTATCCCTTACAAATTTGAGAATGGCACAGATAGCCTTGTCAAGTCTTTTGACAAACTTTCCATCCAGGTATAAATACTTAATGGTTCTGTGCATTCGCTCCAGATGCATATTTGTGTTTAATCCCGAGTGCAGCCGATAACAGTAGGCCCAATTTGCGTATGTGAAAGCGTAGTGTGACTCGAAATACTTTCCAAACTCCTCTGTGACGTTTTGTGACTGGCAGTATTCCAGGAACTTCTGAAGCAAGGTGTGAAAATTGGATTGAT